ATCAAACCACCGGTCCAGCACCGGTGGTTTGATTATGCCGTCTTAGCCGAAGACTTCAAGAAAACGACTGCGCAGGTAAATGTTAACTCAAACGGCCTTTCTGACAGTTTTAATGTTCGTTTAACCACCCGACACCCCATGCTACACCTGCTTGGCTAGCTTTAGCTGCTAACAAAAACAATAAACTAAGGGTGCTCACGTCCAGTACTCGAGAGCTACCGTCCTGCAAGTTTTCGATGCATCTTTACTCCGACAGACCAGGATCAGCTCCGAACAAACCTGCTAACCAGCCTTTCATTTGATTCAGGTGTGTTAATTGGCGCAGGGAAGCATCTGAAAGTTGCAGGATGGCAGCTCTCAAGGACTGGACTTGAGCTCCCCGTACTGAACAGTCGTACCGCGATATCCAAACAAATAAACTTAGTTAAGCATAAGTTGATACTCTTGCGCAAACAGAAAGTTAATGCATTCATAAAAAAATAATCAAAAACATGATGATCTTAATATGGAACTTACCTTGTTTTTTTTTGTTGTTGTTTTTTGTTTTTGTTTTAATAGATCTTTATTGAGATACAGAATACATAACAGTATAAACGCAGCATACATTGTGGTATAATGTCTGCCAGGGGGTTACAAACATTGAGACAATATATCACCATTACATTACATAAATACATTAAAGAGAGAACATAAAGACCAAAGTTTTAATAACTTTCGGGAACTTACCTTGTTATGATAAGCTCCAGACAAGACGCCATACTGCTGTCTCCCGGGTAAACACGTGACGTCACATATACGTTGCTATTGTGAGAGCAACTCTTTAGCAAACACTATTTCTTTAGGGAAACTGACAAACCTATCTTTAAATTTGACTAAACAAGTGTTTAATTAACATTGTATTTTTAACATACAACACCAACACTGGTAATCTAACACTTTTGATTGAACACTCTGTAGATTTCTATTCATTCCCTAAAAGATTTATTATGTAAAGTATGTTTTCTTTCCGTTTAATATTGACTTTAAATGCTGGTAATGCAAATATAGGTAAAATGTCTTGCCTAGGAAAAAAACTATTGTACAATTATTTTGTGGTAGTTTACTGCCAGTCATCAGTCTTTATTGTGACAACAGAAGAAGACATCAAATTGACAATATCCTACCGTATTTTGGAATAACAGTTACTGCTGGAATTTCACCGTATATTTACAGCCTTTTCTAAGTGTGTGTGCGTGTGTGTGTGTGCTAAACATGTATAGCTTAATATTCAGTATTAATCATTGTTTATATTTATATAAATATGTATTGATAAGACGAGAGCTGTCCATAAGGCGTCTGTCCTTTTATTACGTCTATGTGAGAAACAGCCCGGTCTACGGAAGACGGGTCCTTCGAAGGCCACGAATATGGACGACCAGAAGAGAGAGAAGCTGTAGCCTTCAGCGAGCTGCCTAGCCTCCATCTCGGCGTTATGTTGCTTAGCAACCGTGACAACGTGAAGCACAGAGCGGCGACGGAAAAAAAACGGACTCGAAGTTTGTTTTTTTTACTCTTTATTTCTGTATTATTCTTCACCTTTTGTAATAAAGGCTGTTCCATAGTAAAAAAAAATAAAGAAATGTTTGTCTGATTCTAAAATGTTTAAACATGTAAAGCAAGGGATGTACGCAAATTATTCATTTTCAAATACTCTCCATATCTCAGGAAGTAAGACATTACAGTTAAATAAAACTATTATGTTTGAAGAATTAACTTTAATCAGTCAAACCCATTTGCTCAGGAATAAATTAAATACTTTAGTGAACCAAAATTTCTTACAGCTATTGCCAGACTTAATATCTGTGTTTCACCTCCACTCATAGTGGAAAACCAGCGGGAGTTTTTAAAACGATTTGCCGGACGACAAAGGTTCTCTCTCGGTGTACTGAACCTGGAGCGCCCGGCCAGTTAAGAGCTGGCAAGGGGAGCTGGCTGTTAATGCAGCAGGAGCAGACATCTCCGAAAACGTCGGAGCAATATTGCAATTAAGTGATTTACTGTTGAACTGAGCAGATATTTGAGATCTATACATCTACATTCTCACCTAAAAACTTTTTAAAAAATCATTTTGTGTAATTTTAAGTGTAATACAGCAAAAATAACTTTGCTGCCATTGCTGCTTTTCTGAACACCCGTTTTGGTTTTAAAGCTGTTTTTTGTTCGACTCCCTGTGCTGGTCTGGAGCACTTCCGTTTTCAGCACTTTTTGTTCGCATCTTTTCTTTTGTTTGCTGCATTTCATTTGTTGTTGTCATTTTTCTTTGCATCTCTTTTTTTGTTTGCTGCATTTCATTTATTTGCGTCTCTTTTTTTGTTTGCATGCTTTCTCTATTGTTGCGCATTTGCACCTGTCGGCCACCGTAAGAACCAGCGCCTTACACCGCCAGCTTGAAGACTTGNAAAAGCAAGGATCTTAAACTCCTCAATTGTCGTGCAAGTCACATCAATGTTGAAAACTGTAGGCTGGATTAATTTACAGAAGTTGTAGAGGAATTCATGGTACTTTGCCCTGAAGGTGAAGTGTGCTTTGAAAGTTCATCAAAAGCTACCTTGGATGATCTTGTGATTACTGATGGTGAAGTGTCTTTGGTGCTGCTCTTGTTTTCACCAACATGCTTTAGGAAGGGCTGTCCTGGTTCCACGGCAATGAGGAAGGCTTCAACACTGGCTTGCATCTTTGACATAATGATAAGATGAATAATAAAAATTATTAAATATATTTAGCAGAACAGCTACATTCAGATAGCAAACAAAGCCAATGAGAAAGTGCTTCTACAAAGAAGTAGGATCATTAGAATAACCACATACCTGCACATATCTGAAAACATGGTCCACAGTTTGACATGAGCTGTTTTGGATTCTTCTTGTGGCCTTTGGATGTAGGATGAAGCACATGAACCAACAGAAGAATGCCTGGTTTTCCCAGCCTGGAGGAACAACAGGATAAATAGCAGACACATTAGGATAATAAATAAACATTTTAAAGAGAAGTGTGAGCAAAACTAACCAGACCCACCTGTGTGTGTGTGTGTCACCATCACAGTCATTCAAAATACTTTGTCCACCCGGTTTACCCTGGAGAGCATTTTTCACCACCTACAACATAAAGCATAAAAATGTCAGAAATAATTACCATGAACACAACTCAGACATTAGGCATTATAGAAATTAGTCAGCTTATAGAAACATTCTGGACAGCATTTCTTCTACCAACCTGTCAGAAGAAATGTGTTGAAGTCATCATAACAGGCTTCAGTCACCAACATGACGTACTAATGAAGAAAAAAAAAGAGTCAGCCAATATGTCATTATTTATGATGATTATTATTTATAGAGACAAAAACATTTTGGCTTAGCTTTGATCGCATAGATCAAACCACCGGTCCAGCACAGCCACTCTCTCCATTATGCTGTCTATAGCCGAAAACTTCAAGAAAATGACTCCGCAGATAATGTTAACTCAAACGGCCTTTCTGACAGTTTTAATGTTCGTTTAACCACCCGACTCCCCATGCTACCCCTGCTTGGCTAGCTTTAGCTGCTAACAAAAACAATAAACTAAGGGTGCTCACGTCCAGTACTCGAGAGCTACCGTCCTGCAAGTTTTCGATGCATCTTTACTCCGACAGACCAGGATCAGCTCCGAACAAACCTGCTAACCAGCCTTTCATTTGATTCAGGTGTGTTAATTGGCGCAGGAAAGCATCTGAAAGTTGCAGGATAGCAGCTCTCAAGGACTGGACTTGAGCTCCCCTGTTCTGAACAGTCGTACCGCGATATCCAAACAAATAAACTTACGTTAATCATAAGTTGATACTCTTGTGCAAACAGAAAGTTATGCATTCATAAAAAATAATCAAAATCAAAAACATGATGGTCTTAACATGGAACTTACCTTGTTTTTTTTGTTTGTTTGTTTTTTAATAGATCTTTATTGAGATACAGAATACATAACAGTATAAACACAGCATACATTGTGGTATAATGTCTGCCAGGGGGTTACAAACATTGAGACAATACATCACCATTACATTACATAAATACATTAAAGAGAGAACATAAAGACCAAAGTTTTAATAACTTTCGGGAACTTACCTTGTTATGATAAGATCCAGACAAGACGCCATACTGCTGTCTCCCGGGCAAACACGTGACGTCACAGATACGTTGCGATTGTGGGAGCAACTCTTTAGCAAACACTATTTCTTTAGGGAAACTGACAAACCTATCTTTAAATTTGACTAAACAAGTGTTTAATTAACATTGTATTTTTAACATACAACACCAACACTGGTAATCTAACACTTTTGATTGAACACTCTGTAGATTTCGATTCATTCCCTAAAAGATTTATTATGGAAATTATGTTTTCTTTCCGTTTAATATTGACTTTAAATGCTGGTTCTCTAAGATGCAAATATAGGTAAAATGTCTTGCCCAGGAAAAAAACTGTATTGTACAATTATTTTGTGGTAGTTTACTGCCAGTCATCAGTCTTTATTGTGACAACAGAAGAAGACATCAAATTGACAATATCCTACCGTATTTTGGAATAACAGTTACTGCTGGAATTTCACTGTAATTTTACAGCCATTTCTAAGAGTGTAGGTGAATATTAACTAAACTGCATAAAACTGCGGCTAAAATATATGTTAATATAATTACAATTTGACGGGTAAAAATAGTACATGACCGATTTTTTTTAATGCTGTGTCAAGATGACAGACAAAAAAGTCTAGCATGGCCTCTGCACCCATACATCTAATACTTAAATTAATGTTTGTCTGTTTATTAAATACATGAACAGCCCGATCCTATAGTCCCTCGGTTTCTGCTATACTCCAGTTAACCCTCCTTCCGACCTCCAGTGAGGAGTTGAAGAGTTTAATTGCACGAGGGACAAAGGAGTTTCTCGGTCTGTTGGTATTCCACTTTGGAAGAAGCAGTTCCCCACTGAATCTTATTTCCTGGCTGCTGATGGCAGTGTGCAGAGGGTGACTGGCATTGTCCATAATAGCCTTGAGTTTCTGCAATGTTGCCAGCCCAGAGTCCAGTGTTCCCAGCAGTGTTCAGAGATGCTTCCATTTCAGCACACATCAGCGTATAACAAGACGCTGGCGACAACAGACAGGTAAAACAACCCCAGTAGTTTTCCACAGATGTTAAAGGATCTCAGCCTCCTGGTCTGGACCTTCTTTTAGATCTGTTGTATTACTTGTCCAGTTCAACTTGTTTTCCAGCTACAGGCCAAGATATTTATAGGTCTGCACGACCTCCACCTCCACCCCTCCTATCAGAACTGGTCGTGGACAGCCTGCTTCCCTCCTGAAGTCAATGACCGCTTCCTTTGTCTTGGATGCATTTAGCTGCTTGCTGTTTCTATGGCACCAGATAAAGTCCCTCACCAGGCTCCTGTACACAACTTCATATTTTTTTTAAAGTCAACGTCAACATGATAAAAGTCGACATCGACTAGTCACGTTTCACTTATATAGCGAAAATGTAAGTGAAACGTAAGTGAGAATGCTTCACAACTTACAGGCTTCATTATCTATATTCACGTAAATATGGACAAAGTCTGTTATGCATTATTAAAATAACTAAAAATACAACATTATTCCAGACTTCTTTATCAGCAGCTGAGTCTGGTAATAAGTTGAGTTCGACTTATTTTTACTTTTTCCTGAATAATGGCAGGCACTGATGATCGGGTATATTCTCATTTTGGATAGCTGCGCATATAGGACTTAAATTGCTACATTGGCTACAGTTGTGCTTTTGGAGCATTATGATGAACGGATTCTATTTGATTACAGTTAAATTCAGTGCAGCCTCATGCTATCAATGCGCAGGATGCTCTGCTGACTCAGGAGCGACTCTCTGACTTTGCGGGATGAACCAATATAAGACTGCCATCCTCTGTCCCACACTGACGGGTGTGTTGTATGGTGGACATTCTCCCATAGTGTTGAGATTTCCTGGATGGAGAAGAAACAGAGCTAGGTGCCCAACTAGCTCATAAAACTCTAACCCTCTATTAGGATTGTGGGAAATAAAGGAATTTGTCAGAAGAGAATTTTAGGCAGTTTGTACACCCAATTAAATCAGAACCTGAGTCAGTCTTGGAGTTCATCACTAAGGAAAACATCATCAAAATGAGGAAAGTTAGCAATAAAGCTCCTTAGCAATGTTAAGAAGGATAATTGCAATAAGGAAAACAAAAAAATAACATTGAGAAGAGGATAAAAAATGTGTGTAATACAATTTAAAAATAATTAATAGATAAGAGTGATGAGACAAGATGCATATTTTTAAATTATATTGCATGAATTCACTTAATTTCCTTTTGAAATTAATAAGGTATTTTTGAATTTGAATTTACATCTCCATTTATGTTTTTTTGGGAGATACTAATTTTATTTCCTGACAAAAGCAAACCACATGGTTGAAAAAATATCTAAATCTAGAGTATCAATACTCTTTTGGTTTAACTGTGCTTGAGTTGTGCTGATAGATGTGTCTTTCCAGAGAAACACAGAGCTTTTCCTTTATGGGGACACCAGATGTCGCCATTTATCTTTCTCTGTTTTGACTATTGCTCCACTTGTATCAAAAAGTTTCCTTAAACAGTGACATATTGATTAAGATTTTGAGACTGGATGGTATTTACTTCCCTCAGCATGTGCCAGTAAGGACTGAATTCTTTTTCAAACAGGAATACTGAAGTGATTTATGAGGTGAAGAACAGTGACTGGCCAGCCCTTTCCTATTGTTGTGGAATGGGAGGTTCCAGCTATGCAGCTCTTGGGAAACACCACAGGACATCCTTTTCCTCATTCCTCAAGGATAAAATGAAAATCTATGTGTGTTCCAATGTTTCTTTTGTTTTGTGATGGAAAACAAGAAGGTAAATGTTGATCCATTATGTCAGCCTCCTGGCACATTTGTCTGATTTTATAGAAGAAAACAAAACAGCAAATAGGCTTCACAGATGCTCATTTTTAAATGATCATAACACATTTCTGATAATGTTTTAAATTAGAAAATAGGTAGAAATTTTTACGGTTAAGGGGTATAACATTTATATAAAAAAAATATTTGTGTTACGGCCTTTCGTCTGGGTCTAACATCTCTGTTTCAGAGCTCTTAATTGGTGTGCTGATTGGAAATGGAGGCAACTGGCCTGTGTCACCAGAACAACATCAGATCCAGCGTGACCATGCAAGATGGCGGCTGGTGCCTTTGAACTTTAAATGTCATTTAAAAAAGACATTTTATCTCCACCAAATATTTGAGGACAACTGATTCACCAACTGAAAGAAGCAGAAGACTGTTTCAGATAAGCCTGCACTTTTAATGAATTTTTAGAGCCGCATGCTATAAACGTGGCGAGACTAGCTCATGACTTAGCCTCTAGCTACATCCTTTGCTCAGAATACCATCAACAAACATAGCAAAGACGTCTTCACAGATTGAAACATGAAAATTGATATAATTAAAGACAAAAGGATTGTTGAAGAGATTCACTCATGTGCATGCTGTTGAGAAAATAAATTTAAAATAAGCTAGTTTTAAAACTTAACATGTCTTGATTCAAATGCCCTAATTGTGGTTTTGAAATCAGTAACTTATTCTGGCTTTTTGACCTTTATGTTACCTGTAGTTCCAGCAGATGGTTTGCTAGGATCGTTTGAACTGCCTTTTGTCTGTGTGGGAAACAATACAGTAGAAGTTGTAGCTTTTCACACTCATCTGTGAAAGGCAGTAAACACGGCAGGAGTTCCTGGCTTTAGTGAAAGGGTCAGAGATAGCTCCTGGTTGGATGAGCAAAGATACGCCTTATTTGAATAAATTAAAGATAAGAATACGCCTTTTACTATAAAACTTTCTACACAGAAGTAACATATTAGATTTGCTCTTGCAACTCTCCAAAGACGTCTTTGGACGTCTTTGCTTTTCTTTCTTTCCTTCTTTTCCAAGTCTGTCAGGTAAATGAATGTATGTCTCCGTTGTTCTGCAGTTTCTGGTGTAAGTTTATGCATTGTCTTATATTGGATTAAACTCTGTAATTCTGTGACGTCAACACGCATTATTGTTGTTTTCCTTGTGGCTACACGTGGCTCGCCGAGAGGACCTGGGATCCAGAGGAAGAGAGAGAGCCAGACTTTTTTCAAAGTTAACTTATTTAGATATTCTTCCTTAACAATGCCTATCTAAAGACAGAGAAGAATGTACCTCTTCCCTGAAGAAACGCCAAGCTACACAGGCAAGAAATTAATAAAAC